CAAGTGGTGTGGGGCTTTAAAACCGCTGCCTGTGGACCCCTCCATCTGTGGGGCATTGGCTGCCATGGGAACAGTAGTTATGGCTCCTGTAGGACCCAGGATTGTGAAGAGACCAAGGTCCTTGAGAAAAGGGTAAAGACTGGGAGGAGGAGGCAAGGAAAGAGAGCCTGCTTCACTGGAGACTTACTTCTCCCACACATGTGAGAAGGAGATAGCTGACGGTCCTGGGCTAGTGCTGCCTAGCATCAGCCTGTCAGCCAGCACCCTCCCGCCCCCAGGGTGGCACACATTGGCACCATGCAAGACAAATGACGTGCTAAGGTAAGCGCTCGGTTGGCAAGCCCAGGCATCCCAGGAGAGACACGGCATGGGTATGGCCTCCATCCGGGCACTTCCAGGTAAATGGCCGTGCAGAAAGGTGAGAAAAGCAATGGTGTGGGGTGCATGTGTGTGCCCCTGTGCTGGTGTGTGTCTGAGAGAGAGAGAGCAGTGATGAAGCACGGTTGGGGGGCCGTTTGTATGCAGGGACCCTAGGGCAGTGAGAGACAGTTGGCAGTTCAGAGCCTGCTGGTTTTCGGACTCCAGGGGTTAGTGCATAGCAGTCCTGCAAAAGAGGCCCCATTGCTTGCTCCAGAAGTTTTGACATTACTTTCCTCCTTTCTTGGCAGTTTCTTCCTTGGCCATGGAGGGCAAAGTGTTAAAGGTGTCAGTCTGCACCTGAAGGAGAGTCCTGAAAGCCTCACGGGAGCACAACCTCTGCTTTCATCATGGAGTTCCTGAAGGAGACCTGCAGCACATGACTCTCACAGGGACCCTGGATTCTAAGTGAGTTTCTTGGATGTCCCCCGGCCCAACCATTAGCTGGGTTCGGTGGCCCACACTGTGTAAAAGAGTTAGGGAATGCCTGAGCTGTAGGCAGACCTACCACAGGCTAGTGAGGGCAGCAGAAAGAGAGCCTTGCCATTCATCAAGTCAGTGAGGCCTGGAGGAATCAACCCGTCTTGGTGCATTTAGGAGAGGAATGCTGCTTCCTGTACAAGGGAGAGGAGAGCTGTGGGCGTAGGGCGGACAGTCATGCCAGGGTGCCTTTCGTGTGGGGCTCTTTGTCGGTTGGTAGTAGTAAACTGTAGAGCCGACAGGAAGGGAGGCCAGCTTACCATTTCGGCTGTGCGTTCAGTGCTTCGTTTTGGCAGAGACCCTTTCGATCCATGTGCACCTTCTTCACGGCACTGTATCAGAGTGAGAGGCCTGTCACATTCTCTTTGCCCTTTTGGGGGACCAGGAATCTATTTGGCCTTTTCCTGCTGCAGAAAGATAGCAATTGGGTGAAAATGAAAACAGTTGCAAACGGAAAAGTACAGAGTTAGGAAGAGCAGGGGAACCTCGCTCAGGAGGTGTCAGCCTCAGGGAGGGTGTGCTGGCCCTGCGACGAGCACGGCATTGGTAAGGAATGATCTTGAGAGGTGCACGCTGAGAAAAAGATGTTCTAAGTCAGCTCCATGTCCGTTTTTCCACGTCCAGTCCTAACTGGTGCTTCTTCACCTGTACACAGATTTCTCATGAGGCAGGTAAGGTGGTCTGCTATTCCCACCTCTTTAAGAATTTCCCACATTTTGCTGTGATCCACAACAAAGGCTTTGGAATAGTCAGTAAAGCAGAAGTAGATGTTTTCTGGGAACTCTTGCTTTTTTGATGATCCAACCGATGTTGGCAATTTGATCTCTCTGGTTCCTCTGCATTTTCTAAATCTAGCCTGAACATCGGAAGTTCACGGTTCACAAGCTGTTGAAGCCTGACTTGGAGAATTTTGAGCATTACTTTCCTAGTGTGTGACATGAGCGCAACTGTGTGGTCATTTGAACGTTCTTTGGCATGGCCTTTTGGATTGGAGTGAAAAGTGACCTTTTCCAGTCCTGTGGCTCCTGCTGAGTTTTCCAAATGTGCTGGCATATTGAGTGCAGCACTTTCACAGCAGCATCTTTGAGGACTTGAAATAGCCCAATTGGAATTCCATCAGTTCCACTAGCTTTGTTGGTAGTGATGCTTCCCAAGGCTCACTTGATTTTGCATTCCAGGATGTCTGGCTCTAGGAGAGTGATCACACTATCGTGGTTATCTGGGTCGTGATGATCTGTTTTTTATAGTCCTTCTGTGTATTCTTGCCACTTCTCCTTAGTATCTTCTGCTTCTGTTAGGTCCAAACCATTTCTGCCCTTTATTGTGCCCATCTTGGCATGAAATGTTCCCTTGGTATCCCTAATTTTCTCAAAGAGATCTCTAGTCTTTTCCATTCTGTCGCTTTCCTGTATTTCTTTGCATTGATCACTGAGGAAGGCTTTCTTATCTCTCTGTGCTAATTCTTTGGCTCTCTGTACTCAAATGGCTATAGCTTTCCTTTTCTCCTTTGCCTTTAGCTTTCCTTCAATTCTCAGCTATTTGAAACGCCTTCTCAGACAACCATTTTGCCTTTTTGCATTTCTTTTTCTTGGGGATGGTCTTGATCACTGCCTCCTGAACAATGTCACGAACCTCCATCCATAGTTCTTCAGGCACTTTGTCTATCAGATCTAATCCCTTGAATCTATTTGTCACTTCCACTGTATAATCATAAGGGATTTCACATAGATCATACCTGAATGGCCTGGTGGTTTACCCTACTTTCTTCAATTTAAGTCTGAATTTTGCAGTAAGGTGTACACGATCTGAGCCACAGTCAGCTCTTGGTCTTCTTTTTGCTGACTCTATAGAGCTTCTCCATCTTTGGCAGCAAACAATATAATCAATCTGATTTTGGTATTGAACAACTAGTGATGTCCATGTGTAGAGTCTTCTCTTGTGTTGTGGGCAAAGGGTGTATGCTATGACCAGTGCGTTCTCTCGGCAATACTGTTAGGCTTTGCCCTGCTTCCTTTTGTACTCCCAGGCCAAATTTTGCCTTTTTCTCCAGGTATCTCTTGATTTCCTACTTTAACATTCTAGTCCCCTATGATGTAAAAGACATCTTTTTCGGTGTCAGTTCTAAAAGGTCTTGTAGGTCTTCCTAGAACCATTCAAATTCAGCTTCTTCAGCATTGCTGGTTGGGGCATTGACTTCAATTAATCTGATACCGAATGGTTTGCCTTGGAAACGTGCAGAGATCTTTCTGTCGTTTTTGAGATTGCACCCAAGTCCTGCGTTTTGGACTCTTTTGTTGATTATGAGGGCTATGCCATTTCTTCTAAGGGATTCTTGCCCATAGTAGTAGATATATTGGTCATCTGAATGAATCCACCTAATCAAGTCCATTTTAGTTCACTCATTCCTATGATGTCAATGGTCACTCTTGCCATCACCTATTTGACCACTTCCAAACTACCTTGATTCACGGACCTAAGATTCCAAGTTCCTACGCAACGTTGTTCTTCATAGCATCAGATTTTCCTTCCAACATCAGTTACATTTTTCCTTGGCTCTGTCTCCTTATTCTTTCTGGAGCTATTTCTCCACTCTTCTCCAGTAGCATATTGGGCACCTAATGACCCAGGGAGTTCAATTTTCAGTGTCATATATTTTTTGCCTTTTCATACTGTTTCATTCCGAATTCGGAATGGAGTGTGTAATGCTATATATTGTCATCCTGCTTATTTAAATTATATGCAGAGTACATCATGCGAAATTCCAGGCTGGATGAAGCACAAGCTACAATCAAGATAGTCAGGAGAAATATCAACAACCTCAGATATGCAGATGACACCACCCTTATGGCAGAAAGCAAAGAAGAACTGAAATGCCTCTTGATAAAAGTGAAAGAGGCGAGTGAAAAAGTTGGCTTAAAAGTCAGCATTCCAATAACTAAGATCATGGCATCTGGTCCCATCACTTCATAGCAATAGATGGGGAAACATGGGAAACAGTGACAGACTTTATTTGAGGGGTGCTCCAAAATCACTACAGATGGTGACTGCAGCCATGAAATTAAAAGACTCTTGCTCCTTGGAAGAAAAGCTATGAGCAACCTTGACAGCATATTTAAAAGCAGAAACATTACTTTGCTGATGAAGGCCCATCTAGTCAAAGCTATGGTTTTTCCAGTAGTCATGTATGGACATGAGAGTTGGTCTATAAAGAACGTTGGGCACTGACGAATTCATGCTTTTGTACTGTGGCTTTGGAGAAGACTCTTGAGAGTCCCTTGGACTGTAAGGAGATCAAATCAGTCAAACCTAAGGGATATCAGTCCTGAATATTCCATGGCAGGTCTGAAGCTGAAGCTGAAACTCCAATATCTGACCACCTGACGTGAAGAACTGACTCATTGGGAAAGACCCTGATGCTGGGAAAGATCAAAGGTACAAGGGGAAAGATGACAGAGGATGAGATGGTTAGATGGCATCACTGACTATTGGACATGAGTTTCAGTAAGCCCCAGGAGTTGGTGATGTTCAGGGAAGCCTGGAGTGCTACAAGTCCTTGGAGTCGCAACATGTGGGACATGACTGAGCGACTGAACGAACTGAGCTGAAGTCAGCCAAGTGCAAAATCCCTGGCCATCTGTGTGGTTCCTGGAAGGAAAGCACAGGGAAAGGAAGCATGCCAAGGTGATGGGCACTGTGAGCCTGTCCAACATGATGGGAGGACACAGAACACAGGTGCACATCACTCAGCTCTCCCTGGGGAGAACTTCCAAACCCGCCCACCTCTTTACAGGTCGCTTCCCCTCACGAGCAAATCCAAGGACTGTATAACCTTCCAGGGTAAGTCATAGAGGTCGAAGAGGACATGACTTGATTGAAGAGCGAATGAAAGAAAGTGACCAGGACAAAAAAAGAGGGGTGCTTATAAATTCCATTATTCTGGATAAGTAGACCTATGGTTCTGTATATGTGCGAGTCTCCTTTAAGAGTGCATGTGTGTGTCTGTGTGTGAGCTATCAGAACGGGCTGGGCTCGGAGATGGAAGAATGGACACCAAAAACGTGAAAGAACTTATGTAAAGTACATAGACCATGGGGCAGCAGAAGCATGGAAGCCAGGGAAACGAGCCCAGGGATCTCACCAAGCAAGCAAGCTGTAAGTGGAAACAAGCTGCTGCACCCTGGATCCCTGCCAGAAAGGAAAAGCTGGAAGAAAGCAACTGGGGGTGGTCAGTGAGAATGCACAGAATATGAAAACGAGAATGGGGTAGATTCCCAGGCACAGAAGAGGCAGGGCCTACAGCCCTTGGACGCCCAGCTACAGAGACGTTTCTGTCCTTCTCAAGTGTAGGAACATTCCCCGGCATGACCAGGCACATGAGCACACCTTGCCTTTTTTGTAAGCTTTGGGAGACAGACAGGCACTGCAGCATAAGCCTCTGCTACCTGCAGTTTGCCAGTTTGAAACATCACTCTTTGTGTTCTTCGCAGAACCCTTGGGTATCAGGACTACGCAAAGCATGAATTAGGTTGATTCTCTCACTGCTCCCATCCCCACAGGGCTGGGGAGACAGGGTAGGCTGTGATGTGTTCTCATGTGGAGGCTAGATGAGAACAGAACAACTTGCAAAGGGCCTCTATATGGTAACTGGGCAGACTTCAGTTCCTCTAGTATGAAAAAGAATCATGGCCCTTAATGCAGTGCTGTCCTCAGTATCTCACTGACTGGCATTCCAACAGGGTGCTGGGAGTTCCTTCATGCCAGGAAGAGCATGCCCTGTTTCTGCCTCTCTCCAAAGTGTGGCCAAGTCGCCTTAGTCCTATGCAGTGTTCATGTCTGCCATGCAAGGGATGGAAGGACGCCTGTTCCCTGCTATGGTTCAGCAGAGATTGCCTGTGTTCGCCTCTCAAGTTTGAGAAAGCATCGTCCGAATGTGTGGACTGACAAAGTCAGATCTCCCCTGGATGCACCTCACACATTGCCCACCTGCCTTTTATTGGACACATTGGGAGAGCTCCCAGTGGTTAAAGGTCCTCTGGGACACAGGAATGTGCTTTTTCGATATGGAAGCAAGGAACTCGTGGTTCGAATTTCCGGAGGCCAAGTCAATGGCAGTTGGCACGTGGGACGTGCCAGATACGAGGCAGGGAAATTATCTGGACAGGCACGTTGACTGGAGCAAAGGCAGCCACGTGTGGGCGCTGGAGCCCAGGACCCCCTGGAGCAATTCCCTCTGGGCTAGGGGCATGTCCCTGGAGGGTGCCTCCTACTACCTTCTCTGTGATTGGTCGAGATTTTTGCCCAGTAACCTTGGCATGACCCACAGCTCCAGCAGTCTAGGGGGCCCGAGTGCCTGGATGATTCAGGCTGGAATGTGCACTGTGCCCCAGGCCATTCCCCACCGTTTTCTTCAGTCTCAGAACACCCCCAGAAGAATCAAGCCATCTCCAGAGGGTGACTGCAGCCTGTGGGCAGGCTGGGCATGCCACCTGCTGTGCTGTCATGTCCAGCCCCTTAACTGCTGCCCCAGCTCGGGGTCAAGGCCAGGGCCACGTGGAGAGTGAGACACAGCCAGAAGAAGGCTGGAGCCGTGGAGGACTGTGGAACTTTGTAGTTGTGATCCTGGGGTCAGGGGGCAGGGTCCCTGCGGCCTGCCCGCACCGTGGGGTCATCAGGGACGTTGCAGGCACCAGGGGACGTACTAGGCGAGGAGGTCACCTTATTCAGGGTGGAGGCTGTGTGGAAGTCACAGACCTGGAGGGGGCAGAATTGGCGGGGATCGTGCTGCTGCTGGCTCCAGCTGCTGGTGGAAGACATTATGTAGGAGACGGAGGTGGTGGCTGACAAGGAGAAGGAGCAGGTGTCCTCGTAGGTGTGTGAGGAGAAGCCAAAGGAGTAGAGCCAGGAACATTCAAGGCCAGGAGCCCCGAGTGAATGGCCTGCGCTGGAGGGACTAGAGGTGCTGGCAGCCCCGCAGGTGGAGATGAGCTCTCGGCATGAGAAAGACCACAGGACCTGCGCTCCTATCAGGTGGCAGAACCGACAGAGGAAGAAGGCTCACTTGGCTGGAAGAAGTGCCATCATCCAGGGCATCCCTGGCTTCCGGGTCAAAGCCGTATCCTGACCTCCACTCCATGGGTTCGAGTTCTCAGGAGGAAGACATGGAGGGGGGCAGGAGGAAGGTTGGGGAAGAGGGCACAGGCAAGCTGAAGGGGCTGAGGGAAGAGGGCTGGTGGAGTGGCGGTCTCCAAAGGCACCTCGCGAGGAGAGCCTGGGCAGGCCCACCACAGCTGTGGGTGTCAGAGGCATGACTCTTGGTGCCTCCTTTACCCCTGCATCTGAGGGGCAGATGCACAGGAGTCTCCGGCGGGGACGCTGTGTCAGGAGTTACCAGTGACAGTAGGCCAGAGGAACATTCCCAGAGAGCTTCCATCGCAACTGTGGATAACCCTGGAAAGTAGTAGAGACAGCAGAAGCCTCACAACAAATCCCGGTCCGTCAGAGCCCCTGAAGGTTCCCCCACGAGTGCAGTGCAGAAGCACGAGGGTGTCCACCCTTGTGGAGCTGGAAGGGACTGCTGTCCTTGTATGCTATGAGTGAAAGACGACTGCAGACACATCCTTGCCACCCCTTTTGAAGACAGGTAGCAGATCAGAGACCCAGGGCTTTCTTGCTAAACAGACACAGAGACACACAAGGATACCCACACACAACACACACACTTACCGCAGACAAGACGTGCCGCAGAGACTGCCGTTCCTGACATTCTAAACGGTGACATGATGCTACCCATCACAAGCCAGGCAGACATCAGGAGCAGTCAGAAACACTCTCCCTAGGCGGATGCAGATAGCCTCAGATGCAGAAGACCTCGGGGGACCGAGACTCATGAGCATGTCTGATGGTATGGCAGGGGCTGGGGACAGCGGTGGGGTGGCTGGGCACGAAGGAGTGCCCAGAGCCCTTCCAGATGCCTGTGTCAGCATCCGTGTCTGCCCCAGACAAGCCCTGTTGCTCGTGGCAGTCCCTTTCCCAGCATTTGACATGACTGCCTCCTTGACGTAAAGCAGATTATGAACCACCCCCAGGTGTCCATCAGTATCAGTAACTAAGATGAAGACTTGGTTAACGACATGATGGATTTGAAGGTCTGTGAGGGAGACTCAGAGGACTGGTGGGTAGGGGAGATGAATGGGGAAGGATGAGGGGGAATCATGTTATCCCTGTGCGTGTGGTGTGAGCATTCAGAGAGGAGTAGCAGGAGCTGTTGATGCCTGCCTGGCAGGCAAGCTGAGGTCCCGAGAAGCTTGCACCTTTTCCCTCTTCCTGGTCCTGAAATGTGCAGGAGCTGAGCCATCCCTGGTCTCTGCAAGCTGATATTTTCCTTTTGGAACAACCCCTACTCGTGGAAGACAGTGATTATTAAGGAATGCTACCTTGACATCGCTGGCACAACTTAGCTCCCAGTGCAGTGTGAGTGTGGGGGGAGGGAGTGCATGCTCCTCCTGCATGATGCTAGCCTGACTCCCCTGTATTCCTCCAGGATCCAGGTTTCCTCCAGGGTGCGTCATGCACCTCTAGGCCACTAACTCTGGGATTATGAAAGGGGAGCTCCCAGCCAATGGGCTGCACAGCAGCAGCCTTAACTTCCTCAACTATCTGTCAGACCACAACTGCCCAGGATCAAACAGGATTGCTGGGGTGGAGTCTCTCTGGGCCTCTGCAGAATTGGTGATTGGTATTAGAGTTCTTGGCTGCTCATGGGAGGGCTCGGGGCCTGGTCAGCCCAGTGCTGGCCTTGTTCGTGTTGCCAGCAGATCACCGACGAAGACTTGTTGATCGATCCCCTGCAGCACTACCCAGGTAGAAGGTTCTGAAACGAGAGGTAACTGAGAGAACATGGGTTGTGAGGGGATCAGCAGCTGGGCCCTGAAGGCACAGCCGTGTAGAGGCCAGGACACTCCTTTCCCACATGGGGAATCTCAGGCTCATGCAGGCTGGATGTGGAGCCTGGATTTGTGTCATGCACATAGACTGGATGATTGAGGACCTCATCCTCAAGTCATGCTTAAGTCACTTCATCTCCAAGTCCTACACGAAGCAGCTGTGCTCACAGCATGAGAGTCCTATGTGATTCTGATAGAGGCAGGGTTAATCTAGCTCCTTGGTCAGAATCTTCCTTCCCTGGGTCCTGCCATCCACAGGCCTCCTGCTGCTCATTGAGTTTGAGATTCCCTTGGTCATTCACCCCCACCCCTTCTCCTGGGAAGCCCCACCAATTGCAACGGACTTCTCTCTGGTGTCACATTGCACTTTTGTGCTCAATTTGGAGTCTTCTCTGAATTTCCACATCTGCCACTTGACCTCTCACCACCAACACACAGTCAAAGATGGAAATGGCTTAACAGTGGCTGGTGATAATACTGAAGGGCTGGGGGGGGGGGGGAATGGACAGGGATCCCAAAAGGGCAGGACATGGAGCCTACTGACATCGTCTCCCACATTGCTGGACACGGGCGTCTTCAGCTACTGAAACACCTGTGTTCCCTGTTTGTGTTTATGTCCTTGTATCTTGCACGAGTGAGTGTACACAGGCGTGCTTGTGTCGCCTGTGTTTGTGCATGTGTCTGGCCTGCTGCAGACACAGAGGTGAAGGTGACAGAACATGAGACGTGGAGCAACCAGAAGAGGAGGCACGAGGCATCCACAGACTCGGGGAGACTGGTTGAAATATCTCCGCAGTGCCCATTTCCAGGACAGAAGTGAGGAAAGGATGGCCAGTGACAACTGTCCTGCAAGTGCCAGCCAATCACACAAATAGTATCTCCTGAACTTCTAGGCCGTTGCACTGCAGTTGGTCTAGTCTGGCATTCTGCCCTCGCTTGGAGAATTAGAAGAATGCTTATGAATGCAATTTATAAAATCCAGATGTACTCTTTACATGTTGAAAAAGATAGTGTATAACTTGATGAAAAATTAATACATACTTATAAAACGTAAAGTTGCTGGAAAAATACAAGGAAAGAAGTAAATCAACGGTGATATCATTTAACATTAGGTCAGAATTCTAGGTTCCTGGGACAGGGAGATAAAAAGGTGAGGGTGCACTAGTTGTTTTAGTATAAAATTATCTTTTCTGCTATTTGAATGCCAACATAGAACTTGATTCTGATAAGTGATTCTTGCTTTCTTTACTTATCTTTCAGCCTCCAATTTTACAAATACCTAGTAATTTGACCACCTGGTCCTGGCATTGGCCCAGAGCTGCAAAGGAGCTGGACACCAAAGCACAGCAGGTTCCCACAGCCTCAGTCAGTTCAGTTCAGTTCAATCGCTCAGTCGTGTCCTACTCTTTGCGATTCCATGAACCGCAGTACGCCAGGCCTCCCTGTCCATCACCAACTCCGTTAGTCCACCCAAACCCATGTCCATTGAGTCGGTGATGCCATCCAACCATCTCCTCTGCCGCCCCCTTTTCCTGCCCTCAATCTTTCGCAGCATCAGGTTCTTTTAGAATGAGTCAGCTCTTCGCATCAGGTGGCCAAGTTATGGGAGTTGCAGCTTCAAAATCAGTCCCACCAATGAAGACCCAGGACTGATCTCCTTTAGGATGGACTGGTTGGATCTCTTTGCAGTCCAAGGAACTCTCAAGTGCCTTCTCCAACACCACAGCTCAGAAGCATCAACTCTTCAGCACTCCGCTTTCTTTATATTCCAACTCTCACACCCATACACATCCAGCCTCAGTCACTCCCCTCCAACTGGTTTCTTGCCTACAGCTCTGAGCAGGGAATGTGAGACATGCTTGTTCCCAGAGCCTTGTAACATCACACATGTGTAATATGTTGGTGAGAGGAGACTGACTTCTATACCCTGCCCTCCAGACCCTATCAAGAATGGATGAAATGGATCCTAAAGGCCTTTCCTCACAGGAACGTGCCCCTTGAAATAATGGGCACTCTGGCAGCGGTGACCCAGTTGCCAAACTCGGCTCATGATGAAGTCGTGGCTGAGTCCTCAGAAGCCGTTTGCATGAGCAACGGTGCAGAAGAGCCTGATGCCAGGAGCCATTATGAGAGATCCCACTCATGGCAAGGTCATGAGGAGAAGACCTGACACGCAAGGCCGTTCAGGACACGAGGGACCCTCCAGGTTGACCCCAGCCTCTCTCTACCCCATCCTGTATCCTCCCCCCTTTTGTTGCTGTTTTTCTTGTTCGCCCTGCTGCAAATTCTTGTGTTGCCTGCCGAGAGCTCTCCTGCTCCTCTTTCACTGAATAAAGACCAACTTAAATCCCTAATTAATAAATCTATTGGACGCTGGTACCCCATGAAGGGGCCAGGGATGAAAGAAATGCTTTAATTCAAACCCTTTTGCTGGCATTCTGGCTTGTTTGGCAAATGTGTGCTCCCATTGCAAAAAAATGCTCATGATTGTTCTAAACATCCTAAGCACAGTACGCTAACAAAAGAAACCATTAAGCATAGGTCCCTCCGCAGGGTGAGAAAATCTCCATAAACAAAACAGTCAAATAGTCAAAAATAGCAGTAACGTCCCCTGTATTAAATAAGATTAAAAATGTTACTGCTTCATGGCAAATAACATAGCTGAATGTGCTAGACAAAGGTTATCGTGTTAGAGCCACAAGATGAGCATAATGGAAAATACTTTAGATAGAGATTAGCTGGTGACTTCTTGCGGGTAGTTAACTTTTAGACTAAGAGCCTGTTCTGTGATATATCTGCTGTTTTTGCAGTCCTTTGCATTTCTGTTCCGTAAAAATGTAATCCTATCTAGTTCCCATAGAGATGACGCCTATTAGAAAGAAAATAGATTAACCACAAGAAAAACAGGGTCAGCTACTGAAGTTGCTTAAGTCACACCAGGTGCAAGCCATAAAATGTTGACAGGCCTGAAGGCCAAAAGATATTATACATAGAGATTAACCATAAAAAAAAGACTCTTGTAAACAAAAAGTATGTATCCTGTTTCTGTGGAAGGTCAAGTTGCTATAATGTTTGAGCTGACCTTTGTGTAAGCAACATGCACTTCCCCCCAAAAAGATGTTGTAAAAGGTATAAAGGGGAAGTGCAAAAATAAACTTCAGGCTTACCCCCCGAGCTTTGTCTCACTGTGTCTTTTCTCGCCGATGCCGTTCATCCTGAGGGTACCCCTGGATCCTGCTGGGGCTGGACCCCGGCAGCCTGACGAGCGAGTGGGACAGCAGGGCCAGTAACAGCCAAATCAAGGAACCTGAAGCTGATGCTTCAACCCTCCTCAAGCCTGAAATTGCCTCGGGCAGTGGGCAACTACTTGTGCTCAGGAGTCCACACAGGTGAGACAGGGTTCCTGGGTACCTCAGGGACAGAGGTGCTCACCTTGGATCCAAACTTCAAGCCCTGGGCAGGACGTGGGG